TTTTTTTTCTTGTGATTTTAGAGTGAAATTTTACCTTGACCTTTAATGAGAGCCCCCCTTTTTAATTTCATTAATATTTAGTAAATGGTTATTGCTATAAAATAACAAAATCACACAAATCAGTTTTGCGATTTAGTTTTAATTGATAGAATGTGCTTTAAACAAGCTTTCAAGTGCTCAACTTCTATTTGAAATCAATTAATTAACAGAAATTTGCACCTATAAAGAGCCATTATCAATATGAGACTGTTGTTTTTTGTTAAATGATATAAATTAACTGTTGTCTTAACAACAGAACTGTGAATTATCTGTATCAACACTCTTGATTCCAGAAAATTCCATGATATGAACACTGTCATTATTTTACTTATAGGCGTGGTTTCTTTTTATTTCATTGTTCAAGCCATGAAGCCAAGCAGATCAGATAAGGGACAAAGCAATTCTTTGCCTATCTTGAAAGCAAAGGTTGGTCAGTGTTGCATGCCTGAACAAACTTCTGAGCTGCTCCTGTCACAAGTATATAGTAAGTATCTAAAGGTTCTGCTTCTTTTTGAATTTTTGTTCACAAATAGTTAATCGTATTTATTGTTTTAGGTAAAAGAATTTGTCTTCCTTCGGGATGGATTCGCACTTTGCCCCCTGCCGATTATACATGGGTGTCAAAGGCCCTGTTCAGGTGGTCTCCAGAGATGCAGCCTGAAATGGACTATGCTAGGGTGGATAGGATGTGGTGGTACCCGTCGTTCCCACCTCTTACCTTAACTGAAGAGCCAGAGATGGGATGCTACTTTGGGCATGCATTGTTCCTCTGGATGCCACAAAAGCTGTGGAACGTGAAACTTATCTGTCCACATTCAGACTGCCTGAAGGAAGAGCTCACGTCAGCAGGCCTGCATAAGGAGCTCAGGCAGGTAGTCGACATGGAAGGGTCATACTTCATGGCATCTGAGCGTCTGGTTTGTGGGAAATGCAAGCGGAAATGGATTAGCTGGAGTCATGATGTAGTGTCACAACTTGATATAGGTCATAGAGTCCAGTTCCCTTGCATTCTTGCATCACAGGTGGCTTGTGACATGAAGGTCGTTCACTTTAAACGTCAGAGACATTTGGGGCCCAGCGTCAGCCAAATCCAGAAGAAAATGGAGGAACATCACACTGAGGTTTGGCTGCAAAAGACCGTTCAGTATCTAACAGATTGCAGAAGCTTTGCCCATCCTGCACAGTTTCAAGATCCACCCGCCATGCCTCCCCTTCCCAAACATTGTTGGTTGAGGCAAGTGTTCGCTCTTGACGTACTTCACCGAATGAATGAGATCAAGGCCAGCATAACCTCCAAGTTTGGTCGTGTGCTAAAGATGGGTTCCACCAAAGAGTGTCTCAGGAACTTCTCAGGAACTTGGACGACCAGTGTTGCCAATGAACACGGGCAGGTTATCATGTCGGTGCTTACAGAAAACAAAGAGTCTGGTCTTGATGGGATGATCTCCGGTGTCATAAATAGGTACAAGGTAGCCGCAGAGGCTCCTCCTGAAGTTCTGTATGCCAATGGAGACTGCTGTGGGTCTAACTCTCTCAGAAAAGCATTCAAAGAGTGGAAGGACATGGAGGTACGGTTGAACATCTCGGAGTTCATGCGAAGGATTTCTGTGGGCTGCACGTCAGAGTCCCATCAGATATACGCGACATTCGTGGACCGCCTCACCCATTGTATTTTCAAATGGGATGAGGAGGACCTGAAGCAGCTGAAGGAGGCGAAGCAAAATGAGCTCAATTCCGATATCGTCCAGCCTTCTGATGATGAACTAATGCATCACCTCAGCAGAAGCGAGTTGGCCCTCCACTGTAGACGAACCATGCGTGATGTAAGGGAGATCGAAGAACTCATCACAGCACTCATTCGGCTCTATGATGGGGAGGCGGGATGGGACTCATCAGGAGTGCCTCTCTTTAGTTCCAATATAATGGCTGCGATATGGGATTCCCAGAAGAAACATTTGCCGTGTATAGTGGATCCTCTTGGTGTACAACTGTATGAGCAGACTGGGACACTGGTGAAGGGAGGCCACCTTCTGCCAACCTACAAATGTTTCAGAGGTTCCACCTCCATTGAATCTTTCCACCAGCATCTGAACCAGCTCATTCCAGGTAAATTAATTATCAGTCAATTTTTGTTTGTTTGTTTGTTTTAGTCTCTTATTCTCAAAAGGCACTACACTTGCAATGCTATGTCAACAGTGTGCCTGTTGCAAGTGGCACAACACAACTAGATAGCCATAATCAAAATATCTGTCTGTACTGCAGTAGCTCAGTGTTGCAATGCTTGCAATGACAGTTTTATTGGTTTTTAATGAGAGTGATGATAATTATATGCAGGATGATGTGTTTGCACAATGTCTGAACACAGTATGAAACATTAGTACGCTTTGTGAAATATAAAGAGATTTCACGGCATTGTGTATTATATTTCAGGGGTGCCAGCTTGTTCTACATTTCTCCAAATTGAGTTTTTGGATGGATTGGTCAGGTGGAATGAAGCGACTGCTGTGGCCTCAGAGGGCCTGCAGACACCTCAGTCTTGCATTGGGGTTCTTCAACAAGCTGTCGACCAGCTCGGAGAGGAAGTGCTTGGAAAGAACATTGTGTCTCCTATCAGTACAAGTAAATACACTAGTAAGTTAGATATTATCTTCTCATAGCTGAAGGGACAGTTCACCAAAAATACGAACTCACCCTCATGTCATTCCACTATACAATGGAAACAGTAAGAAGAGTGGGATACATGTACAAATAATAAATTACATGAAATCCATCTGGAAATTTCAAACAGATTTTTTATCTCTTTTAAAACTAGATTTGATCAAGTGGTATTTA